AAAGATCAGGCCGTCCATGAGAGCCGATGGCTGCCCCGCGACGAATTGCTTATCGGAGCACGCGAGATGCTTGAAGAATACGAACATGCGCACGGAATTATAACTCAGATGTCAACAGAAGAGCCTCATGCAAGAAACGTGGGAAAGCGTACCTCACAGAAGAATGAAGCGACGCCAAACCGCAAAGCAAGAGCAGTATGGAATGGCATAGCACGAGAGACAAGAGGATCACGAGGCGATAGGAGGAGAATCGCCGCAAAACGTGCAGCAAAAGTTCCAGCAAGATCGAAAGTTGCAAACAGCACAAAATAGCTTCGCAGTTGTGTATAAGAGCATTCCGAACTCACCGCTTCAAAATCGGCGAACATTCCTCGAATAGTTCTCCATAGATCACCTCAGCTCATCGTTCCAACTCTCACACCATGCCTGCTTTCTATCGCGACGCTACGCCGTTCTATCAGCGCGATGCACACACTCCTTTTTTTTTTTTTTTTTTTTTTTGGTTGTAAGCTACTCTCGGACGGACGAGCAAAGCTCGCCTCCGAGAGGTCCTTGCTTGGAGGGGTGTGTAAGAAGTGAGACATAAACGTGTAGAACATATTCATATAAGACATAGACACCATGCGGAAATGCTATTATGCACTTAGAAGTGTGAGACTCCAACCGCAGGGGGTATCATCCCCCTCGATCGCGAATTGGTTGTATACTCACTAAAACCGCATCCTTCCTAATCCAGTTCTCGGGGAGGCTCTCTTCTTCGAGGAGTGTGCCCGACCACGTGGTCAGGACTGTCTTCCTCGATACGGCTTTATTCTCGTACCTTCTCTTGTCGGCCATCGCTTGGTCGAGATGTAGTCTGTGGTTCATCTTTGCAACCCATCTATTGTGAATCTCGTTCGCGGTATGTCGTTTCTCAGGGTGCTCGCCGCGTTGGATTCTTCTTTCACACCGTATCACCCATATCAGATGGCTAGATGTCGCGATTATGATCTTCAGGAATCTACTCGCACTCCCGTCTCGGTCCCCCTTGAGGGACGCCATTCCGCTCGCTAGTATTGTTCCGAAACTCGTCCCTGGCCAGCGCCTGTTGGTCTTTTCGTTCCAGAGTTTCTCGGCTAGTTTCCATATGGTCTTACACCCGCTGCCTTTGCACTCGGTAAGTATGTGTTCCATTGTTTCCGTGCAGTCGCATACCCCGCATACAGCTCGGTTTTCGTAGTTGGTGATCTTTTCCCAGTATTCGCCGACCCGGTGGGCGTCGTGTATTGTTTTGAAGAGGAAAGCGCGTTCGTTCCTCAGCAGGGCGGGATCCCTCGTCGCTTTCCAGATGCATCCGTCTGTGGGGGGGGTGCCGTTGAGGTCTTTCGCTGCCCATCTGATGATGTCAAGGTTTATCGCGGTGCGTCTCCTTTGGCTCGGTTTTCGTGCTCTTACTAGTCGTCGGTACAGTTCGCTCTGTGTCGCGGTGCTTAGCTTTGCGCCCCGGAGCTCGAAGCCGTCGGGGATCTCGGGCCAGGGTCTGATCACTCCGTGTGAGAGTGCATCTCTTGCTAGGTCGCGTGCTTTGCTCGTCCCCTCGTGTTTCGCTCTCAGGGGGCTTAGTAGGAACGCCGTCCAGCCCTCTCGGGCTCGGATATTTGCGATCGCCGATTTCATCGCTCCCGCTTCCTCTCCTAACCAGTCTTGGTCTTCTCGGCTTTTCCTGTTCCTCGTAAGCTCTCGGATTATGCTGTCGTTCGGGACTCTGAAGATGATAGGCTTTGAGGCTGGGATCGTACTAGCGGCCTGGGCTATCGCTGTGAGGATCCCTAGGCAGTAGGTGTCCTCTTCCCGGCCTGGAACTTGGAACCCTTCATTGTATGGGCTGTTTTCCCCCGCCCATATGGCTCCCCCGAACTTTGTCTCTGTGTCCGGTCGGGAGAAGCGGGTCCCTGCAACGGCGATTACTATCGCCGATCTGTCGTCTGGGCTCGTCCTCGGGATCGGTCGTTCTCCTTTCTGTTTTGACTTTCCTGTGAACACGCGGAAGCAGTTCGCAGTTTCGTGTTCGACGTATTCGTCCTGGAAGGGGATCATTTGTTCCCGTTCTGTGTCCTCCACGTCGTCTGTGCGTGTGTTGCTGTCGAAGGCTGTCTTTGCGGGTGTTCCGCCCTGTATTTTCCACCTCGGGAGCAGTTCGTTCGTTAGCTTGGTGCAGGCTTGTCGGCATGCCTCGGGATTCTTGCATCCTCTCGCCTTGGACCGCATGCATGCCCCGCACAAGCAGTCTTTGGATTTGCGGTGTGTCGATGGCCAGAATTCCTCGAGGTCCATCGCGTTGCCCACGGTTTCGACGTCGTGGTTTTTCCGTAGGCATTTCGCTTTTGGAGTATTTTGGAGTTTTCTCGCCGCTTCAGTTGCTCCGATGTGGAGCCACAGGGGCAGTTCGGCTTTCACGTTGGCGCCGAGTTCGATGGCTTCAAGCCGTACTTCGTGTTTGATTGCGATTGCAATCATTGCTTGGAGTTCATCCGGGAGGTTGCCTCCCCTCATCTTTGGCTTCCATTCTTGTGTGAGGCAATTCAGTAGCATTCGTGGGCCGCTCTTTTGTAGTGTCTTGATCAGATTGTTTCTTATCAGCTCGTCAGCCATAAACGTCCACTTCGGGCGCCGGGGGCTTAGGTCTAGATACGCTCTGAGCCAGGTGAGTTGGATCGCTTCGTTTCTCTCCTTTAAGCAGAGTATCTTTTTGCCTCCTTCTAGGATGGGGCGCGCCATCGTGTCTCCGTTTACGGGGGGCGTCCTCTGCCCGTTCCATACGAAGCTCTGTATTTTCTTGGACAGGTGTGTTTCGACGTCCTTGGGCATGCCTTGGACCTTCGTAAGGTACTGTGTCATGCCGCCTACAACCATTTGGGTTATCAGACGTCTGCCTTCTAGCGTTGGGTGGCCCCGTTCCCAGCGCGTTAGGGCTGCGTCTATTTTCTCAATCACCGGCCCCCAGGGGGTCGCGTCGTCAATCTCATTACCTATCCATGCGCCTAGGAAACGTATCGCCGTTCCATCTTTGGATATGCTGATCCCGGCGGGAATACTCTCGTGCGAGTCATCAAGTTTTCGCGTCTCGATAAGTTGGTCTCGGTATTCCTTCGGGCCGAGGGGGATGATTGCCGTCTTGGCAACATTGAACTTTGCGCCGGAGGCCACGCACCACGTATCCAGTATCTGGGTCAGGTCTTCGAATTTGTCTTCGTGGCTGAGAACTACTGAGGTGTCGTCCGCGAATAGGGACACGATTGTTCGTTCTGCCATTCCGGGTATTAGCATTCCTTTCAGACCGGACCCTCGGATCATGCACGCTAGGGGTTCGATGGCGAAGTTGAAGAGTAGGCATGAGAGGGGGTCGCCTTGGCGTACCCCCCTCGTTACTTCGAAACGGGAGCTAATTACTCCGTTTATGATTACCGCTGTTTCCGCGCCTTGGTATAGGTGTTTTACTGTGTCGATGAACTCCTCTGGGAAGTTCATGTGTCTCAGCATATCCCATAGGTATTCGTGCTCTATCTTATCATATGCTTTTTCCTGATCCAGCGATACTAGAGCGCCCCGGAAGTCGGATTGCGCGGCGTAGTGTGTCGTCATCTTTGCGAGTTTCACTTGGTCGAAGATTGAGCGACCGGGAATGAATCCTGCTTGGTCGGGGTGTATGGCTGTCTTGGCGACTTCTGCCAGCCGATTCGTGATTGCTTTGGTGAATGTTTTGTAGTCTGAGTTGAGTACTGTGATGGGGCGGTAGTTGCTGATGTCCAGTCTGTCATTTTTTTTGTATATAGGGCACAACCATCCGACGGCGAAGTCTGTTCCCCTGCATATGCCGTGTTTCTCGACATCCTGATACACTCGTGTCATCGTTTCTACTATATCGCACGTCGGTGAGTCGCCGTCTTTCGAGGATTCGTATTTTTCGTCCAGGAACTTCCATAGCTCTGCGGGTATGCCGTCCATACCTGGGGCTTTCCCGTTTGGGGCGTCTTTCAGGGCGCGGAGGACGTTTGCCCTTGTGACTCCGTTCTTCATGTCGGTGCGTTGTTCGTCGCTTAGGCGTGTGGTAGTTTGGGATTTTACTGTAGCACGGGCCGTGTCAACTTCTTCTTCGGTGCGCTTGTCTAGGGATTGTAACTCCTCGTGGTATGTTCGCGCCGCTTCGGACATCTTTTTGGAGTTGGTTATGAATTCCGGCTCTCGTGGCGCACCATATTTCGGGTTGCGCAATTTATTCATGGTGTCGCGTGGTCTCTTATCGCTGTTGATCGCGGACCAGTATTTAGACACTACTTCGCCCTCGATCTGATCATGCGCCGTGGAGTTCATACGTTTTTGGGCATGTCTCTCTTTTCGCTTGTGGTCTATTCTCTCGCTCACCATGGCTCCCTGGATGGCTCTCTCCTCCTCCTGTACGTCCGTGTCGTTCAGGAGGTCGTCTAATTGTTCTTCGAGTCGTGCTATTTCGCTGTCTAGTCTCGGCATTGTCCCTCGTTGTATTTCCCGTGCCGCGCTCTGTACGTCGCGCTTGAACTTCGCCCACAAGGTCTGCGGGTTCCAAGTGGGCGATCTATTCCTGAGCGCGCAGGCGCGCTCTACGTCTTTCTGTGTGGTGTTGGCCAACTGGAGTATGTCCTTCGCTAGCTTCGCGTTTCGTATCATGTTCGTCGGCATTGACCATCTGCCTTTGCCTATGTAGGGTTTGCTTGTGTCTGTGAACATGACGGAGACAAGTTTGTGGTCTGTTTCGATCGCACCTGGGTGCTCAATCTCCCATCGATCGCAGCCCCGTAGGGTTTCGTCTGTGGCGTATATGCGGTCGATGCGCGAGTGTGCCCCTGTCGCGATTTGGGTATAGCTATAGGCAAGTACGTCGTCATAGTCCGTTCGCCATCCATCCAGCATGTTGAATTTTGCTTTGAGGGTCCGGAGCGCCTCCGTCGCTTCTCCGTTATCTTTGTGCATTGGGAGCCGGTCGATCTTGTCCTCCACGACGTTGAAGTCCCCCATCATCATGTCCGGTTTCGGGAGGCGGCTCGTGCGCCATGTGCGTTGTAGGGTGCGCCAGAATTCTGCGTTTTCCTTTTCGTCATTAGGTGCGTAGATTCCGAGGATTCTCAATTCGCTGTCTTGATGCCACGGTATCGTCAGTAGGCTGGCTCTGCCCGGTATCACGTCTGCCACTGTGGCTCCCTCTGCGTTCGTTAGTTCCTTGTTCAGGACGAAGGCTAGTCCGCGGGCAGCTGTGGGTGCCTCCTCGTCCGCGGTGTTCAATACTCTTAATCGTTTTTGGAAGACACTCTCGACTTGGTTACGTAGTTCGTCCGTAAGGTGTGTTTCTTGCAGTAGCAGGATGCCAATCCTGTCTTCGCGCATGAGCTGATTGACGTGGAACCATTTGTTCTTCGGTCTGTTTTGGTCTAGGTTCGTCATGTCTCCTCGTCCTCTCATGTTGAGGCTGGCTATCTTTATGGTAGCCCTCGTGTTCTTTTTGCACTTAGGGTTGCCTGGTGTTGAACCTGGTTCCGGTTCTGTCCTCGGTTCCCACAACATGTCCTCGTCTGGCTCGAAGTCCCAGCTATCCCAGGGCTGGTCGTCGTCTCCTTGGTCTTCCTCGCCGTTTAGTTCGTCTCGCATCTCGTGTTGGGGGTATTCCGGGTTGGGATCGTCTATCGGCTCTCTCTCCTCAATGTCCTCGCGTGTCGGGCTCGCGCTTACCCTCCTTGTCTGTTCCGAAGGGCTTGCGGTTGCCCTTGGTTCTCGCTCACTTATCTGCGGCGTTCGAACCTTTGAAGTTCCGCCGCAGGGCGGGGGATTCTCTATGTTTAAACTATGCGCCTCCGTCCCACGCACAGCAGACCGCAATCTCGTCCCGGGGCCGTCTCCCATATCTGGGTAACGGTCAACGCTAATTCCGTGTTCATTCTGTGTACTGCTCATGTTATTTCTTGTTTAGTGTTTTCGCAGGCTTCGCGCCTTGACATGTGTGTGTCGGGTGTGACGTGGGTGTTGTTTGACGAGTTCGTCGAGTGTTTCCTGGCTCCGCACTTATGATGGCTTCCTGGGTTTCCCGCTCCTCCTCCTTCACGCCCGCTGCGTTCGGGAGGCTGTTTGGTCGTTGCCTTCATCGCTTTGCGGTTCCCTCGCGTGAGGTTGCGGTGCGCTCGTTGATGCTTGTGGGTTCCCGGCTTTTCCGCTCGTTCTCGTGCGCCGGCTTATTGTCGTTTCTTTAGCGCCTTGTGTTTTCTAGTTTCTGCGGCCGGCGCTACATCGTTTGTCTGGCACACGTGCGTTCGGCGTGTACGGAAGGGGTGCATGGTATGTTAATTGATATCCGGTCAGCGTGTACATGGGTTGGCATCTACACGATATGTCCTTCCACCGCCCATCCCTCGTAGAGGCCCGCGGGGACATCGGGGTTGAGGAGTCCTTTGACGCGGGCCAGGAGCCAGTTCCACCACGGTATGCCTAGCAGAGGTTCTTCTACTCGGGGTATCGTTAGGAGGGTGGTTTCGCTGATTGCAGTTGCGCCTTCGATTATGATAGGTGGGTTGTGGTTTCTGGCGTTCACATGGGTGATGTTCCAGGTTTGTCCGCTTATTTTGAAGGTGATGTAGTAGTCGTCTATCTGGTCCACTGATAGTGTCCCCCAGGTTATTGCTGCGTCGTCGTATACCCTGACCTTCGTTCCTTGCCACGGCAGGGGTAGGGGGTGCTGGGGTGACCTCTCGAGCGCCTGCCAGTGCGCATCGCATCGACCGGCAAGTGTCCGTACCCCGCGTATGGGCCAGTACTCGGATCGGAAGGAGCGTGTAGGTTGATTGTCCTGGGGGTTCAAGTCGGTTTGTGGGGGTTCGTCGACTCGGTTGGGGGCTCACCGTCATAAAGGAGAGTAGATGCTTGGGTTAGAGGACGTTCTCTCCCGCTATTCTAATAGTCGCCCCTGCTTCGATTCTCATGGCCGTTAACCGAGGTCGTGGCAGAGGTGGTTCGATCTGACAATGCGAATTATGGTTGGCTGCCTTTATATGAGCGGTTGGTTCCGGGTGACGTATGGCGAGCGGTTTGCTCCGAATTGTGTCCAGGTCGTGGGCCTCGCCCTCTGGTTTGCAGGGTCAGGTTGTACGTCAGGGCACCTTCCTGGGTTGCGTCAGTGTCGGGGGTGGGGCTGTTGTTGGCATTGTCGGCGCTGAGTGTTGCACCGAGTGGCGCCCGGAGTGGCAGTCTCAGTATTGGGTTGCTCTCAGTATAGCCGTGTGCTATGGGTTGGGGCCCGTAGGCGGTAGTTCATTGAGCAGGGGTTTGTACGACATTAGGGGTAGGTGCTACGGTGTGTACGTTGGTCTATGAGTCTATATAACGAGCCGTACTGCAGCGCGGGTGTCTAGTTGCGGGCTTTACCTCTACCCTGTCCGTTGCGGCGCTTGCCCTTGTATCCGCGGTTCTTGTTGCCGGAGCCCTCGCTTTGGGTGGGCAGGGCGGCGATGACGGGGGCGATGGATTGTCCCGGCAGGGCTTGGGGGGCGGTGTCCTCGGTGTCCAGCCAGTTTGCCATCGCCGGGTAGTCGCAGATGGAGCGCTGGTGGTCGGTTCCGGAGCAATACGTGCAGCGCATCGGGTCGGCTTTCGTGCCCGTGCCCCACTTCGCCTTGAAGTGTATGGCTTGGATCATCTTGATCCATCCGGCGTGGCGCTCGGCTGGGACCGGGCACTTCATGTATACGTTCCATCGATTCTCGAAGCCCGCCGTCGCGTTGTCTCCCCGTGGGAGGCTGATGTGTTTGATGTCGACGGACTTGAGGGTTGCGTCGATGAGGGCGTCGACGTCGTCTATGTTGTTGTCGATGGCACCCGCGGTAACCATGTTGATGAAGTTCGCGTTGTTCTCGAGGTTCTGGATGATCTCCGTTCGGAGCGGCCCTATTTGTTGTGGGCGGCAGGGGAGGTTCTTCAACGATACTGCGAAGGACGGGATCGGGACGGGGTTCGGTAGGACGAAGAAGGTCCCGACTCTTGTGGACCATGCGGGTTGCGAGCGGAGAGTGTGGGCGACGTTGCGGTTTAGGCCGGTGACGAGGTAGAAGGGTTCCGCGCGGGCGTTGTTCGAGGCCGGTTGGTAGGGCAGGACGTCACGTATCTCCCCTTCGGGCGGGGCGAATTCTTCTTTTTCCGGCGGGCAGAGGAATTCTAGCGTGCTCAGGAGGAACTCCGCGCAGACGCTGGGGTTGGCGTAGTCCGCCGGGCGGGGGGGATATAGGATAGCCGCCGTGTTCATGTCCTGTTCGTTCCAGGCTTCCTTCTGCGCGGGCATGGTGTTTTCGAAGATGCCTAACCAGGTGCAGGTTTGCGGTAGCGGGAAGGGTTTCTCGTCCGGTTTTGCGTACTCCCCTTCGAAGGTGAGGAGGACAGGGGGGGGGTGCGGCATCCGGGGGGGGATCCTGCATGTGTTGGTCGGCTTGCTCGTTCTCCCCGTTTGGGCCCTGCGTGCCGACCGGATTTGTGGCGGAGGGGTTCACGGTGGGGGGGGTCGCTCCGCCGGTGGCGGGCGC